GTGAGGAGAGAGGGATGCTAAGGATCGGCCCCACCCAGCTCCGTGGTCTGGAGGAAGTGGGAGAGTCCGTCTCTCATGTTTGAGTGACGATTGCGTCTGTGTCTGTAAGGGGAGCGGCCGGTGCAGGCGGGATCAGTGTGCCTGCCCGGCCACATTTCCAGGACAGTTGCAGGAGAGGACCTGCGAGTGCTTAACTCAGCCCCCAGCAGCAAACACTGCACAGGTGGGAGCAATGACCGGTATCGTCCTCGTTTCTTTGGAGAAAATGAGAGAAAAGGATGGGACATTTAGGATGTTCTCAGCTGCCTACCCTGAATAGTGCCCAGGCTCCTCAACGGTGAGGGCAGGCAGGCTGAGCCACGCCCCAGAAACACCTGCTGGACACCAAGCCAGGACACAGGTGGGGTCGGCGGCATTTCGGGCCAGCAATTCGAGCTGCCTTAAGGGTCACACTCCCCAGGGGGTCAAGGCAGCAGAGCAGCCGTGGAGGAGGTGGGGGACATTGGTGCAGTGAGCACCCCCCCCACCAAGGGGAGCCGAGAAGGAGCTGGGGAGGGGTTTTGAGGGTGGGGTCTTGGACTTGCCAAATTGCCAGTGCCAGGACACCCACAGATTCGGTTGGCTTAGTGACTTTGGACGCCAGAACCTCCCTGGTGAGCTCAGCCCCGATTCGCAGGCTGGAGGATTAGCCCTCCAGGACTCCAGCCAGAGTCCCAGAAGCCACCCTGGGACTTCAGGCCAGGGCGTGGCCCCAGTGTCGATGGTGTCACCACTGTTTGTGGCCACTGTTTGCCGCAGCATTTTAACACGATGAACACGTCATCCCAGCGCACTCCAGATTACACAGCCACGCAAGCTTCTGCCTCTAATAATGGATTCCAACACGCGTTTATGAAGTGAGCCGCTGCCAATGCCATTGCTTGCCGTGGCGACAGCTAAATTGCACACTGAGATCTTTGGCATTCGTACAGGACGTGGGCAGCAGGCCGGAAGGGGATGCTCAGGAGTGGCCATTACGGAGTGAGGACTCTGCGAACCATGGAGAGAGAGAGAGAGAGAGAGAGAGAGAGAGAGAGGCTTGTCTTCCCCAAGTCGCTAATGGAAGTGGCCAGGACAGACTCAGAGTCCAGACTCTCAGGAGGAGAGCTGCTTTCCTTTGCTTTACTCTCCGAGAGCTGGGAGTGTTGTGTTTTGTTTTTTTAATGATTTATTTATTTATTGGAAAGGCAGAGTTACAGAGAGAAAGGAAGGGAGAGAGAGAGAGAGAGACAAAGAGAGAGAGAGAGGTCTTCCACCTGCTGGTTTATTCCCCAGTTGGCCGCAATGGCCAGGGCTGGGCCAGACCGAAGCCAGGAGCCAGGAGCTTCTTCCCAGTCTCCCATGTGGGTGCAGGGGCCCAAGCACTTGGGCCATCTTCCACTGCTTTCTTAGGCCATGAGCAAAGAGCTGGACCGGAAGAGGAGCAGCCAGGACTCGAACTGGTGCCCATATGGGATGCCGGCACTGCAGGCGGCAGCTCTGCCCACTGTGCCACTGTGCCAGCCTGGAAGTGTTACTTCCCCACAGCTGATCTTAATGTTTTGAAGCAACCCCAGCTGGGGTGAGCATTTGGCTCGGTGGTGAAGACGGCTTGGTACACCCACACCCCTGATCGGAGCATCAGGGTTTCAGTCATGTCCCATTCCTGATTCTGGTTTCCTGCTAATGTCCCCCTGGGAGCAGAGGTGAGGGACCAAGGGCTCAGACCACTGCCACTCAAGTGGGAGACCTGGGCTGAGTTCCTGGCTCCTGGCTCCATCCAGCCCCAGCCCTGGGGAGTGAACCACTAGACAGGAGATCTCTCTCCCTCTCTGCCTTCCCAATAAATACAATTTTAAAAGAAAATGTAAAACAATCCCGCAGGGTGGGCAAGGCCATGGGGCCTCGCCGTGTAGTTGCGGGATCTGAGGTTCTGTGGGGTTTGTTGCGTTCCCAGTGCAACCCCGCGGACCCCAGCCCCCCAGCGCACCAACGACCCTGGATGAAGCCGGGAGGCAGTGTCCCCGACACAAACACTGCCCTGGGAAGGAGCACGGGACCCAGAATCAGTCAAGGCTAGAAGCTGATGATACATGAGGGACTGTCTTTCCCTGGAATCGGAGATGCGTTCCTCCAGGAGCAGGAGCCAGGGGCTGAGCGTGGGGCTGGGCCCGCAGCACAGTCTGGGGACAGGGTGAGGGCAGGTGGCCCTTCCGGCCAGGGCACGGGGGTGGCGGTGCAGGCGGGCAGTGCACCTCCTCCTCGTCTCCTGCCTACGCCGGAGTCCCGTATTTCCCGAGCAGCAGGTCACAGGAGCCCAGTACCCAATACACTGGAAGCCTAGCACTGCTATGCACGCGTGATAGTAATTAACGAATGCTAACGAGGCGCCCCTCCTCCTAACCCTAGGCTGCTACGTACGGCTGGGCCAGGGTTTGTTCTGGCTCTTTCTTTCCTGCCACGCTGTCGTGCTCTGCAAGGAGGCGTTCAGAGAGGCACGGAAGGGCGTGTGGTTGAAGGGAGCTCTCAGTTCGCATTCTGAAAACGTAGGTGGGGCAAAGCCACCAAGTCCTCTCGTTCTCCCTCCTGGCTGGGGGAAGAGGCCACGAACCGCTTTCTCAGAAACCCTGCACCTGCAAGTTCCTTTCTAGAACCTGCCGCAGCCCCACGCTCAAGTTCAGAGCCGGTTTCAAAACAAGTGCATGGAGTCTGTGCAATGTCTATTTTAAACAGGTCTCGGCGGAGCCAGGGGGAGTCAGAAGAAGAGAGCTGTTTTAAGGCTGAATGAACATGCGTGAGACAGCCGAAGGAGGAGACAAAGATGTTTCCGTATGGACCGAGATGGCGGCTCCCTCTCCTGCGTGCCCACCACGCTGCGGGCACCACGCTGTGTCCGGAGGCAAAGGAAGGCAGGCACACGGTTATCCAGCCGCAGGCGAGGACGCTGGGGTTCTGGGCTCCCTCTCGCCTGATCCTTGCACCTGCTGCCTCTGCCGGCACGTGGCTAAGGGCTGGAGCTCCGCAGGCCGACGTGGAGGCAGCGGATGGTCAGCCTCAGAGTCCCAGGTCCAGCAGGCGAGGCTCACGGAGGAAGAGCCAAACCCTTGAGGGAGAAGCCAGACGGGAAAACATGGCACCGGCGAAGGCCCAAGGTGCATCTCATCGGCTGCCAGAGGTCACAGGATGGAGCCCGTGTGGGCGGTGCCAGCTAAGGCTCGCGGGTCACTAGGTGCCCCCAGAATTCACTACACCACCACGGTGAAATTAAGCTTGCGCCATAAAGCAAGGGTTTTGCTCTTTGCAGCTTTTGATTTCCAAATGTTTACAGCTGCAATGGCCCCGATGTGATTTAAAATATTTTTCGGGTTTTAGTTCTTAGAATGAACTTTGTGACCTAGTGATGTCATCCAGGTCCTAATGATCACCTCCTGCACCGATGTGAATAATAAAGCCAAGCCTTGCTCACTGAAGACAATATGTATTTTTATTTATTTGGCACAAGCACACACACACACACACAGAGGCACACAGAGTGGGGAAATACCTTCTATCCACAGGTTGACTCCCCAAATGCCCACAAAAGCCAGGGCTGGGCCAGGCTGAAGCCAGAAACTCCACCCAGGTCTCCCACGGGGGTGGCAGGGACCCAAGTACTTGAGCCGTCACCTGCTGTCTCCCAGGGCGTGCATTAGCAAGGGGCTGGCTCGGAAGCAGAGCCAGGACTCGAACCCAGGTCCTCTGCTGTGGGATGTGGGTGCCCACACCACCGCCTAACCGCTGAGCCAGACACCTGCCCTACGCTGTCCTCGTGTTTGAACAGAAACCTCTGTTCACCAAGGTGCAGGGCAACCATCTACGTCCCCATGGCGATCTGGCAGAAATGATACTAATGTTTGTCTGGTTTCATGTTAAATATTTAATGAGCAATCACCCATCTTAGCCAGAGTTTACAACTAAAATTCATTAACAAGATCCATCATTCAGCCAGTACCTACTGAGCACCTACTGTTTGCCCAGCGTGGTGAGTGGCAGCAGCAGGCAGGGATCCAGTCTCTGGGGAGGGGCTCCCAGCCTGGAGGGTCTGATGACCTAGGCTTGACACCTCACACAGGGCACTCCTGGAATGAGCTGATTTGCCAGCTGCTTCTCTGACTCCGCCCTGGCCTGGGGCCTGGAGCCTGGAGCCAGCAGGCTAGATTTTTAACACAGGGTGAGCAAGAGGTGTGGCTCAAAGGGCAATCATAAGGTGAAGCTTCCATGCCGCTAACAAGCATCCTGCTTCGGTCTCCCAACCACCCGCTGGAACTCCACTGTGACCCCATTTTACATACAGGGAAACTGAGGCTCACGGGCAGCGGAACTTGAGCAAAACCATCAGGCCCTATGCACTGGGGACAGAAGTTGGAACTGGCCATTTCTGACTCCAGACTTAACCGACAGCCCACTGAGGCCTTGGCCACCACGTGGCTGTCACGGAACACGGGCTGAGGGCCCCCACATCCCACACCCAGGACCTGGGGAAGCCGGGATTGGTCCCAGTCCAATCACGTTTTTCTTCAGAAACCGGGCCTTTTCTTGCCAGCATCCCCAGTCTGTCGGTCTTACCATGGACTTCTGATGGCCTCCAGGGAGGAAGGCAACCCAGCCATGGCACAGCTTTGCTAATGTTATTAGAGCTGTACACGGCTGTTTCCAATGTCATATGATCAGCTGACTTTTTTTTTAAGTGACCCACAACAATGAGAGTGCCACAGAGGCTGTTCTGTAAGAATCTGAGATGACCCAACGGGCAGGCACCCGGGATGGGGCCTCCCCCGGATGCGTCTGGACCCCAGCCCCTACCATGCAGGGTGCACCCAGGTCCCCGCCCTTGCTGGACGCACAGACACCACCCCGTGAGCCGTCCCCTCGCACAGGGCAGCAGCCCGGAGCAGGAAGAGCAGCCGTCCGAAACACACCAGCCACAGAAAACGTTCCCCAGGTTTGCGTGTATAAATAATTTATTTCTGTTCACAGCATCATATATGCATTATAAAAGGGCCCGGGGACAAAGAGGAGGGTGAGCAGGACAAAGAATTACAGCTGTCGAAAACGAAAAACCGGAAGCAGGGGACACAGGCCTCACACCGGGACGGAGACTTCGGGAAGAGAATCGGTCTCGGACAAAACTGGCTCCCCTGCGTCTATAGGGAAACACTGCCAACTCCCGCCGTGGGAAACCCATCCATTCTGCCCAGGGCGGGGGGCCCTCCCAGCCCCTCCCAGCCCCTCCCAGCCTGATCCTATTTGTGCTTCCTCGGTGCAGGGCAGAGCCGAGATGGGCTTTGGGTCGACAACCGAGACTCAACTAGTAGCTGAAACACCACGGGGCTGCACTTCACGGCACAATGACTGACAGTTGACTGCGCCCTTAAGTATTGATGATGCAAAGGGAAAAAGAAAAGCGACCCACATCATCCCGTTCTTGAAGCATGACAGCGTCTGAACAGTGATCTCGAACCTAAGAGTCGTTGGCACGAGAAGGTTACAGTATTTGGCATCTGCAATGTCACAAAATAAATATATTATTCTCTCCATAGCGTGGACCTACCAAAATGTCGAAGTGCTTAAGAAATTGTTGCATGTGAAGAAAATAAAGGAAGATGGATTTTTTTTTAATAATTCTATACAGAATCTTCAGACGATGGGACCAGCCCACGTGGAAATCAGGGACTATGCTGTCAATACCTAAACTGAAATCTTGCAGGCTTCTCAGTACGGCGTAGCTCTATTTTCTCTACTGGGTTTCTACAAAAAGACCAGCACTGGAGGGGTGTCAAACGCACCAACCAAGGCGAAAGGGAAGACGGGCTGCTGGCTTTCTGCTTTACAAACATTTTGGGCAGGAACCTGGTTGCTACTGCCGCTGGCTCCCTCAGGGTCGCGGGAGAACAGGCAGGGAGCCGCACCTGACCGCTCACCCGCTCGGGCCGCAGCGCGTCCCTCCTCCACCGGCTGCAACCCGTGGGGCAAACCGGGGCTCCGCCTGCCAGCTCGGGTTCAGAGAGGAAGCAGAAAGAGGAAGTTCTGAGTGCCCCTGGAGATACTGTGTCTCTGGGTCAATGACGGCTTCTGCGCACCGGGACTCGGTGCTCATCGGAAAAGGACATTATTAAAACTAGGCACTCACTCTTCCTTTACTGCATCTAATCTCCAGAGCCTCTTGCAAGTAAACTCTGCGTGCCCGGGCAGCGGGGACCATGACGTCACACGCTTCCTTTATGTCAAGCATGCTCCGTTGTCTGCCGGGGCCCAGCTCCCACAAAACCAATCCCTGCGGCTTCAGCCTGCCCTTTCGTTGGATTTGGAATCCATGCAACAAGCTCAGATTGTGCAGCAAGGTGGGGTTTTTTATTTTTGGGTACATGACATCAAATACTCTAGGGAGACATTCCGAATGGAACACCAAAACCAGAGAGGCCGCAAGGAATCGAATCAGAAATCTGAACATGTTGCCACCTGCAGCGTAAGGGCCCAGCAGTCTGTGTTTCCCTAAGGTGAATATTCTAAGTATTCATTTGCAGAAGTTTTTTTTTTTTTTTTCTCCCTTTCAACATGTTTGAAAGCCCATGATCACCCAGCTGGCATTACAACAGCCATTCCTTAAGAAAAAAAAAAAAACACCCAAAAATCATCTTGCCATTCAGCACCCCTCTGCAGCTGGTGCACTCTTCCAAGCCAATCAGTGAGCTAGGAGAATCGTGAATTCCACAAGGATGGAGCTGGTATCCGTGCCAGTCCCACAGTGCAGCCACACACACACACACACACACACACACACACACACACGCCCATCCAGCTTGGTGCCACCGGCGCTCCCCTCGGAACACCTTTACCTGTGCTGCACAGGTCAGCGTCTCATTCTCCACCACCTCCAGCAGTTGTTGGGTTTTGTGTGGATTTTTTTTCCATTAATTTTTATTGGTCTCTTTGTGTGATCATGACCTAACCAGGGACAGGGTCCACGCCTTCCCGAAGGCGTCCGATGCCGCGCTGAAATGCAGTCTGTCCTTCGGCGGCCACAGAGCGCTGCGAATGGGGCCTCTCCGCCGCCCGTGCCCAGCCAGGGCCAGCACTGCGGCCGCCGCGCCGTCCCCAGGACGTCCTCCGCCAGCCCACACCGTCACCGCCCGTGGGCCCGGCGCCGGACAAATGAAATTTCAACAGGGGCCTGCCCTGCGACACAAAACGCTGGAGCTTCCACAGCTGCCCAGGGTCCCAACCCCCTAGGAAGCCCCCTCCCCCAGAGGGAGGTACCGCACACCCCGGGTACCTGACAGGTGCGACCCCCGCCCCCCAGCGGGGGCGGGGCAGCCTGAACTTCAGGCCCTGCAGGATGCCAAGAAATCGCTTTGTCCCTCGGACCCCCGGCGCCGCTCCACCTGGGCGGAGGGCGCACGGCGGGCGCGCCGCGGCTCCGGCGTCCAGACAAAGGGTCTCCCGAGCCGGGGGCGGGGGCGGGTCGGCCGCGGGCTGGAAGGGCGGCCCTCAGCCCCGGGCCTCGGCCCGCCGGCTCGCGTCGGGGCGCAGGCACGGGAGCGAGCTGGAAGCGCCGCTTTGGCTCGCTGTCTTTGTCCGCGGGCGCGGGCCCTCCCGCCCACCGGGTTCATCCCGCAGCGCGGGCGGCGTTACCGCTTCTTCTTCTGCTTCAGGGACTTCCTGCGCTTCAGAATCATCTCGTAGAGCTTGTCCATGCCCTCGGTGAGGCCCTCGCCGATGATGGCGCACGCCGGCTGGACGTGGTAGGTGGTGGCCGGGATGAGCTCGTGCAGCGCCAGCTGCTTCTCTATCTCGGCCACCGGCAGCGACTTGGGGAGGTCCTGCTTGTTGGCGATGACCAGCAGCGGCGTGCCCTGGTTCTCGGCGAACTTGGTCACCTTGTGCAGCTCGGTCTTGGCCTCCTCCAGCCGGTCCACGTCCACCGAGTCCACCACGTAGATGATGCCGTCCGTGCAGCGGCTGTAGGACTTCCAGAGCGGCCGCAGCTTCTCCTGGCCGCCCACGTCCCAGAAGTGGCAGCTGATGCCCTTGGCCGTGCCGTTGCTCAGCTTGATCTTCTCCGTGTTGAAGCCGATGGTGGGCACGGTGTTCACGAACTCGTTGAACTTGAGCCGGTACAGCACCGTGGTCTTGCCGGCCGAGTCCAAACCCAGCATGACGATGTGCAGCGACTGGAAGGCCGAGATGTTGGAGGAGATGTTGCCCATGGCTCCTGGCTGCGGCGGGAGGGCGCCGCCCCCCGACCCGCCAGCAGTCACGGCCGCGGCCGGCCGGCGCACCTGGGCCGCGCCCGCGCGGTCCGGCCCGGCCTCGGCGACCCCGGGGCGTCCGGCTCGGCGCGCTCACGCCCGCCGGCCCGGCTAGTCGCCCGCAGGCATCGCGCCTCCGCGCGCCCGCAGCTTTGTCTCGGCTGCGCCGCGCCCCCGGCGCCGCGGCACGATGCTCGCGCGGGCGCCCGCTCCGGGCCCGGCGCGCTCTGCAGCTCCCTCCGGCCGCGCCCCCGCGCTCCGGCCGCCGCTCCGGTCTGCGCTGCCCGGCCGGCCGGCTCCGGGCTGCCGGCGCCCGGCGCTCGCCTGCGGCCTTGGGCGGCGCCGCGGGGGCCTCTCCCACTCCCGCTTCTCGGGGCGCGCCTCGGAGGCGCAGGCGGGGCGCGGGCTTCCCCGGGTGTCGCTGCCGGCAGTCGCCCGGCCGTCCCCGCAGTCCCCGAGCCGCCGCCGCCGCCGCCGCCGCCGCCGCCGCCGCCAGCCCGCTGCGGCCGAGGGCGCCGGCTCCGCCCCACGCGCGCCCCGCCCCGCGCCCGGCCCCGCCCCGCGCCCGGCCCCGCCCGCGCGCGGAGCCCGGCGCGTCCTCCCCGCCCGCCCGCCCGCCCGCGGTTTTCGCGCGCTTCGCTGGCTTCCACCGGCCTCCGCGCGCAGACAATGGGCTCCGAGCTGGCGCTTCCCCGCAGCCCCCCACGCGTCTCGGGAAATCGCGCTCCCGGCCCCGCCGCGCTCCGAGCCCGCGCCCTGGCAGCCAGGCCGCAGCCGCGCGCCGCAGCCTGCTGAAGCCAGGAAGGGCAGCACCCGGCGGCGGTGAGGGCGGCGGGGTCAGGGCTCCCAGCGCTGGGAGAAGAGCCAGGGGGGCGCTGGCCTCGCTGGTCCCCGAGGCAGCCTGGTTCCCACCCGGCCTCGCGCCCCTGTCTGCCCTGCGTGGCGGCCCCCTCCTGGCCACCGCGGCTTTTCCGGGGTGGGGGAGGGGTGGGAATGGAGCCCTACCTGCATAGGTAGCTCAGAGGATCCCCTTTCCTAGGCACCCCTCCCCTGTGGTTGCCCTATTTTGTTCCCAGGGCTGGGGGTGGGGGCTCTGCTGACCATCCCAGGGTGAGCACCCCCTGTCGCCTTCTTTGGGCACTGAGGGACCATCCCCCACCCCCGCGCGCCAGGGGCTCCAGGTGCACCAGGGGCTGAGACACTTGGCCAGGAATGGCTGGGGGGGGGGTGGCACCGAGGTTTCTAAGCACTGGGTCCCCTGGGTTCCTGGGGTGGCACCGAGGGTTCCAAGCACTGGGTCCCCTGGGTTCCTGCTCGTGTCAACTCGATCCAGCAGCGCCTTCTGATTGTTAACAGAGCCAAGTGCGTGGGAGGAAGTGGAGCGCCCTGTGGCTCCCACGGGGCTGGAGTAGGCACAGCCAGGGGCCCCTGTGGTTGCAGCTGTGGCTTCAAGGGACAGCAAATGTGGCCCCGGGGTAAAGGCCGAAGGAACCGAAGCCGCCAGTCGCCAGTGGGCGAACCCCACATTGGCAGAAATTCGCGTTTCCTTCCCGGCTGTGATAGAATGTGTGTGGGTTGGTGCCGAAATGCCGGGGAAGGCCAAGGAAGCCAGTCTCCATCCTGGCCGTCCCCATGGTGTCAGCGGCCCTGGAAGTCACTCAGCTGCCCAGTGGGTCCCTGGACAGGACGGGGAGACCCCGGGCCCAGATGTCTGTCACTTGGCCACAGGCGACCCAGGCACAGACCGCCCAGGATTGGGTCCGGGACGCCCTATGGCTACCGAGAGGGGCGGCCGCTCCAGGCCCTGATGTACAGTGGCCTAGTGTTTGCAGGGGGCTGTCCACACCTCCAGCAGCTTTAACCCATCTCTAGGTTACACTGGATACCTAAGCCAGCATAAATGGCTGTTATTCTGTGTCGTCTAGGGAAGAATGACAAGGAGGAAATGTCTGTACTCACACACGTTCGGTACAGATGAAAAGACATTTATTTTCAAGTGTTTTTGATCCAAGGTAGTTGAATCCACAGTCGCAGAACCAACTGGTGAACACAGCAAAGTGTATTTACTCCAAGGGCAGAGGGCCTGCTTGCTATCTTTCCCATTCAACTCTACCAAAACACGAGTTTGTTTGTTTTAGTTTATTTGAAAGGCGAAGGCAGACAAGAGTGACACGGATCTTCCATCCGCTGGTTCATCCCCAAATGGCTGCAGTAGCCAGGGCTGGGCCAGAGCAAAGCTAGGAGCCTGGAGCTCCCCCTGGGTTTCCCCACATGGGTGGCAGGGACCCTGCTGATTGAACAGTCACCTGCTGCCTCCCAGGGCGTGCGTCACCCCCAGGAAGCTGGCCTTGGGAGCGGAGCCAGGGCTGCAGCCCAGGAACGCTGACGGGACGTGGCCAGCCCGACTTGAGAGCTGCCCTGGGCGCCTGCCTGCTGCACACCATTTTAACTCAGGAATCAGGTTGTAAGCGGCCTGAGTTAGATCGCAGGGGACAGGGCTGCCTCGGAGGGCGCTGGACAGAAGTGCAGACATCCCGGACGTGACTGAAAACGTTCAGGAGGAGGCTGGGTGTGGGTGCCCAGAACAGGCCTCTAGCGCAGGTCTCTCCCGCTCTCCTTGCTCTCTATGTTGCGTCTTTACACGCCCTGAGCCCTGCACTCACATCCTTGGTTTAGATCCTAGAAAGAAAAAGGCAAATCTCTTTCCCGGGACTCCAACCGAAGCCTGTGCACGCCTCCTACCTCCTGTTGGCCCTGCAGGCGGCGCCTGAGTTGGCACCGCGGGGCAGGAAGAGAGAACCAGCGGAGTGGCATATCCTGGGAGCTGACACTGGCCAGCAGGGGTGGTTTTAGGAAGCGGGGATCTGTCACCAAGAGGGCAGACCCATAGTGAGTAAAAATAGCACACGTCGACGTCATTCTTGATGACGTCATTTCGGTTCTCGGGAACCCTGGGTAGACAGGATTTTGTTTTCGAAGTGATTTTCTTTTCTCTCCTCAGGGCCTGCCCCATACATAACCACCTTCCCAGGCGACTGTTTCTTGTCTCTCCTCTCTGCCAGACGGGGCTGAGGCCGGGCAGCAGCCCAAGACGAGACCTGGGCATTTGGAGAAGGGTCATGAGTGACCTGTTCCACTCCCAGAAACCCTGGCTTTCGCTTTAGGGGAAGCAGGCGGGACATCGCGCAGGCCAAGATCTGATGTGTTTTCTCGGTGCTGTACTGATTGCCACCAACGGCCTGGCTGACTGGCTGCACCCCCACGTCCCGCACTCCCACGGCGCTCAGCGGCACTGGGCTGTCTGTCGTCCAGCACGAAAAGCAGGTTAATAGACGCTAATAGAACCTTCCGGGACAGAGCCATTCAGCGGCAACTCGCGGGACTGGACAGCGGAACTCCACATTCTAATTTCACTCACAGTTGATCGCTCAACCTCCACCACAGAAAAATGTCGCTGGGTGGAGTCAACTTGTGACTTTCCTTCAGATGTGGATTTCGGTTGAAAAACACTGGGCTTGTACAAAGGAAGTGGCGTCCCCCACCCATAGCAGACGGGCAAGGCGCAGGTGGAGCCCGGCCACGGAGTGAGCATGCGTGGCAGCTGGTGGCCTGGGCCACGTGGACACTGCCCGCTTCCCCGACCCTGATCCAGCCTCATGCAGCCCCTATGCACCGTTCCGGGAGCGCCCGTCTCCGACACGCGTGGTGGCTGTGAAGATGAAATGAAATGACACACAAAGTGCTCTGGCCATGCCCAGCACACAGGAAGTGCCTAAGCAATGTGAGCTGTGACGGCTGCAGGGACCCAGGTATATGCTGCACACAACCACTAGACAGCGATGGCCGCCTGACTGGCGCCTTCTGCACGAGAGGGGACAAGGGGCAGCATGTGTCCTTTCCTGCAATGCATCCCCTAGCAACATGGCTTCCTGGTGCCTCTGGTGAACACGGGAGTGCAGCCGAGACTGGCAACACGGCCTGCCGCGGTGACCATCCCACTCCCCGGGGACCGTGAGCCAGGGTGAAGGCTGGAACACAGACGGGTGTGCCGGCACGCATGCGTGTGTGTAAGCATGGGAATATGTGCGCGTGTTGGCCCTGCAAACCGGCCGTGCAAAGCTGGCTTCCGATTCACCGGCCTGGTGCCTAGCTGTCACAGGCCAGGAGTGCCCTCTACTGAGCCGCGCGTGTATTAGTGAAGGCTCCTGAGGACGCGCGTTGGCCTGGTGCTTAGTGTTCAGCCCGCAGTTACTGAAGGAACCAACGGGTGAATGAAACAGAGGAACGGCCGGGAGCCCACGGTGGCCTCCGCGTGGGGCTCAGCGCTTCGAGGTGTCAAATCCAGATGCTGGCGTGGCTCTGGTCTGTGGGAGCCGGGAGAACAGGGGCTTGTTTGCCGGGAGAGGGGGATGGGGGAGTGTTGCCAGGAGAGCCAGGCTCACGAATGGATGGAAGAGGTCAGAAAACAGCATCCAGGAAGCCTCACGAGGCTGGAGAGGGGAAGAAACCAATCTCTGCTTCTAGTCCAGAGGGCAGCGGTGAGCAGCCACGCACAGGGAAGAGGCTGGCGGCAGCGGCTGAAGCCCGGCAGTCCGGAAGGGTGCTCTCTGGTGGGAGGGGTTTCTTAGACACTTCCAGAAGCCTGCGCCGGTGTCAGGCCAGTGGTGTCCACACCACCACACACGCGCCGTCCCCCAGTTCGATGCCGGCATCAGTGGCTAATGTAGGCAACTGGAGAACTCCACGCCAAGGCAAACTTTGTGGGCACAGCCGTGGATTTGGGGTGGGGAGGCAGATACGAGTCTGTGATGCTTGTCTGATGTGCTTCACTTAAGTGGCCTAAAACCTGGAAATAAGAACCCCCTACTACGATGCATATTCGGGAGTGTGATGTTAACGGAGAAAAAAGTCGGAGAGCCTGATTTTCCATTGTTGCTGGGCTGAGCCGTTCGGGTTCTCATTTGCCAAGATCCGCTACTACTAGGCATTTTGTGTCGCTGCTGCTATTCCAATGATCAGTGTCTAGTCTATGCCTGAGATGGCTGTGCAGGTCTAGAAGCCATCCATTCTCCTATCAATATTACGTTAAGATACAAGTCCTACGTCAGGTTGCTGTGAGTCTCCCCCGAGTACTGGAATTCATCTACCATCAAGTGAAAGTTTTCCGAGGACGAGGGACCCCGAACTTCAGACCTGGCGAAGTGGCAGCAAAGTTCTATCAGCGCCAGATCTTTGCGGTGGACAAGGCAGGAAAGCTTGGTATGCAAAAGTCATGTCTGAGGTCTCTGACGATTCAATCGCCGTAATGAGATTTCTACTCCGATAGCTACAGTGAAGGGAAAAAAATAAAATAAAACAAACTAGGGACAATAAGTATCAAGCGTGATTCGAGAACCGCCCCACCACCCCCTGAACCCAAATGCGTCCCAGGGAAGCTTGGATGCCTTCCCCCGCCCTGCCCCGCAGGTGCACTGGGGGGCCTATTATGTTCACTTAAT